GCTCTTTCTCCATTTCAATCTCACATACCTTCTCCTCCTTCCGATCAAAGAAAAAAAGCCCAAAGCAAACCCTAGCTCTCAGTTTTCTTCAGCCCGAACCCCATCTCCTTGGCAAATTATTAGGTCCGATCACTGGACCTATTTCTAGGTCCGGACATCCACTAAAAATTTACCACTTGGAATGTACACGTGTCTGCGGAAATTTAAGTCAAGCGCATCAAAAGCGCAGGTTAAGCGCAAGTAAAGTGCAGTTAAAGCGCAGTCAAAAAGTGCAGTCAAAAGCCTACCTAAAGCACAATCAAAGCGCACCTAAAGCGCAGTCAAAGCACAGCCAAAAAGCACAGTCCACATGGCAAGTTTTCATTGGATGTCCAGACCTATTTTTAGGTCCGATGACCGGACCTAATAATTTGCCCATCTCCTTAAGCCCTCCACACTACACTCGCTCGGTTTATGCTGCTTGAGAGAGATATGAATTGGATAGTGGGTAGATTATTAAAGCTGTCTCTCATATATATATATAATTAGAAAAAAGATTAATTTCATTTTATCCAATAAATAAAGTACAGTCCTAAAAAAAAAGTCAAAACTAACGAATGTTTAAAGAGCTGCAATAAAAAAGAAAAAGGAAACCAAATGAGTAATAATCCTCAACTAGGATTAAAAAAAAAAGGTTGACCCACAGCTAAACCTAAAAATGATAGGCAAAAAATTTTCTATCATAAAATTTACGATGTTCATTAAGCACAAAGGTAGATCTACTTTGAATAAAGACATCTTCAGCTCCATAAGAACACTCATCAAACAATCTCAATCCAACCTCAATCCAAAGCCAATCAGCAAACCAATAGCTACTCCATGAAAAGAAAAGGAATATAAATTTTAATCACTTTTATCAGAAATATTATCATACATTGAGCTACATTAGTTTATTAATTTACATTTCCACCTTAATCTAAGCATTTAAACTTAATGAATTGCATCTTTAATCATTTTAAATTTATAGAGGACATCAAATTTAGGATTTACCAAATAAACAACTTATTTTCATAAATAATTGGAAAATACCCACTAATATAAACCCTTAATGATTTCTAATGTTTTATTTGAATGCTAGGAATTTGAGTGGAGTGAAAAGAAAGAAAAAGGTAATAGAAAATCATAAATTAATGATGGTGATTAATGATCTTAAGAAAATTGTGGAATTATGAATATATATCCTATATAATTTGAAGTAGTTGAAGGTACGTATACTGTTTATCTCTTGCAGGAGGGAAGGAACTGACAATTCAGGAGATTGGAAAGATGGGAGGAGGCTACAATGCTTTCTTGCAAACAAAACTTCCGAAGGAACTCCGAATATATGATCCAAAGCAAGAAACATTTTCAACATCTCATGAATTATTCACTACTGTGTTTCCTCGTGGGTTCGCATTGGAGATACTGGAGGTGTTAAGTGGACCTCCTCGGATTGTGTACAAATTCAGGCACTGGGGCTTCATGGAAGGCCCTTTCAAAGGGCACGCCCCTACTGGCGAGAAGGTGGAGGTTTATGGGATGTCCATTTTTCATGTAAGTTCCATCACCATCCATTGCATGCTTCTCTTTCTATTTTTGTGATAAAATTACTTTCCTTTAGGGCATCTCCAACTTAACTTCAAATACATGAATGGCGTCGCTCGCGAGCTTAAGCCGAACAACAAAACTTCGGGTATTTGGTTGCGCGCGGGTGAACAGATTCACCTGCGTTATTTTTTAGTTTCACTGCATTTTGGAGTGGAAAATGAGATTTTGGGTTGGAGATGCCCTTAGCAATTTTTTTAAATAAAAATTACGGCAATATCATCTAAATCTTTCTTATTTATATATCTAATTACTAAAAAATAGCAAAACCATAGATAACTTATGCCTTCTGATGTGATTTTAGAACATTGAGTCTTATATTAGTAAATATAAAAATTTAGTGGTTAGATATATAAATATGTAAGCAAATCTCCATTATTCTTAAAATGTTTGTCTATATATTCTCATAGTATAATATTTTTTATTCTAATATATTTGCTGAACCATGTAATAGGTTGATGAGGAGATGAGGGTTGAGAAGGTAGAATTCTTCCATGATCCGAGCCAATTACTCTCAGGATTTCTTAAAGGACCATTGACAGAAAGCTCAGTGAGCACTGCATCTGCAAGTTGCCCTTTTTTGAGTGCAGGAGGAGCACATTAATATTATCTTCTACCCAAATCTATTTTCGTCATTTGAACTGGTTCAAGAATAATTTTCATATCGAAGCCATATTGAATAGTTAATTATTTTCATCATTCTGCTGTAATGGATTATGGCTTATGTTTATGTGTTATCAGAGTTATGCTGTTTCCATTATTTATCTTTGTGATGTTTGCTATGAGTTCATAACGACTTTGTTATTTGGGCAAAATTATCATTATCTAAATATTTACAAGGTTAAATTTCTTTCAGGTAAATCGTAAACGTACTCATGGATATTATTGAAAATCATTAAGTATGGATAATAATTAAGTGAAAACTATTTAATTTCCTATCTAACATTGTTGTGGGCTAGGATATTCGTGACGGTAAAGTAAATAATTTCACGTTTTAGAATTACACGACTATTTAGCTCACGAAAGAGAGAGTAGAAACACAATAATTTTTATGTAAAAAATTCTGAAAGAAAAATTCACAAGTCCATGCCTAGTTGAAATGAATTCACTAGCATTTAAATATATTAGAAACTATTGATTCGTCCTTGAGCTCAAGGACTGCCATATTACAATAGTCAATTGTCGGGTAGAAATCTAGTGACAAACATGGATCGAACGGAAGTTTGGCGATGGTCGGTGACAGGGTGTAAATCCGGCATTATTTGGTGGTCGAACGGAAGTCCGGCGACATTTAGTGGTTGGGCGTAAGTCTGGCGACAATGGGTGGCCGGGAAAAAGTGCGGCGATGATCGAAGGCAGGGCGGTAGTCGAGGAGTCTGGTGGTAAGAAAACTCTGATTACACTTCTTTGCCTCTCTTCCTTGCTCAGTCCCCCCTCATTAAAAGTATGAAGAGTATATTTATAATTTTCTAGAAGCAACATGAACAGCAACTAAAGAAAAGATCAAGGGTATGGTCAGAGTGTTTCGAATGGACGACTAATATTGATTCCCTTGATCATATGCTGTTTCAGATAACGAAATCTGGCGATCTTGGGCTTGTTGCATTCGCCTCGTCGAGGCGCTCAATTTGACTATAAGCATGTCACATTTGGAAATCATTTATTCATCTAATTTATGGTTTGAACCTTCCAAATGCGCTTCGGGTTCTTGATTTGGACCCATTTGAGCTCGGATTTGGTCGAATTAGGTGTTGTTGGGTCCATCTCTTCAAGACATTTACTTCGACTATAAGTTTGCTGAAATTGAAGTTTGAATGGTCCCAAATTCAATTTTCAAAGTTTATAATTTAAGTTTGCCTTGAGATTCGTGCCCAACCCCAAATATTAGTTGATGTATCATACATAATTTTTGTCTTCACACTATTCTTGTTTTTTCAAATCTACGTTGGGAGGGAAAGAAACAATCTTGATTATCTTAAACTATTTTCCAAAAAAATAGAGAAAAAACCACCTCAACATGGAAAAGAAATAAAAATAATCATAAGGTCATTTCAAGTTGAATTAGAAATTGAGTATCTTATACAAAATGATGATCAAACAATTAGACAAGTTTCTTGCTCTCTTCGCCTCAAAATCTTCATCTTTTGTATAAATCAACGAAATATAGATTTCTTATGTCAAATAGAATTTTCTTTTAACATAAAACTCAAATGCAAATCAGAACAACCTTAAAGTAAATTCTTTATCTCAAAATAACATTTTATTCAATTCTTAATAACTATAACATTCTTATCAAAGACCAAATATTTCATTACCAACCCAAGACTTCAACCTTAAGTTTTCCTTTCCCAATTCTCCGCCCGTAGCTACCTACGCTATCTGTTGTGGGGAGCTATGAGAAGGGGAAATAATAAAAATGCAGTGTTTAAACTTCAAAATTTCGTCACAATCTTCCAATAAAAAAAATCAGCCATTTCATGCCTAGTTAAGTTGAAATGGACATTTAAAAGTTACAATAAAATAGTTATATGTAAAGCATTATTATTTTATAATTAGTGACAATTAAACTATTATTAAGCTATTAATTTACATAATACATTTTCCCAAAAAAAAATTACATAATACATTAGTTTATATATATATA